GTACGATAAGTGAAAGTTGTGCCAAAATAAAAAAAATAAAGCGTCACGAAAGTTAAATCATCTTATATTGTGTGATTGACACAAACAATCAAAGCATCCAACCATAGAATGCACATGCATATCCAGTACTTCCAAAATAATTTGTACGCTTACCGTACCAAACTATTCGGTTCGGTTTTTTACCGAATTAATTCGATTGTTTCAGTTCGGTATCGGTAAAACCAAAATTATATTTTAATATTATAAAAAATGTAAAAAAAAAAAAAGAAACATTTAAATAAATTAATTCTTGAATTTGACATTTAAAATTTCAATAATCAACCCTAATAACACAAACTGATTTTTAGTAGTGGCTAATTTGTAAATAATTGAAAAAAATATCAATCTATAATTATTTTATAATTTTTTTATAACCTTAAAGAATTTAGAATAAAACAAAAAAATAAATATTTATTAAATATTTTCGGTATTCGGTACGCTTCTGTATTCCGGACATCAATACGTATACCGTACCTAAAACCAGAATTCCAAAGAATATTTACCGAATATCGAGACGAATTTTCCGTTCAATATTCGACACTTACTGAATTTTTGTTTTCTGTCAGTTTACCGGTGAAAATTTAAATTTATTCTAAAAGTATGCTATTAGTGACAAATTGCTATATAATAAAAATTGTTGCTTGCTTAAATTAATAATTAATAAACTGTAACAAGTGTTGTGACTTGTGTGGACTTATACTTTACAAATATGAGAAATAACATGGGGAAATAAAATCTTTTATTTGCAATTTATTTATATACAGATTCTAAATTTGATGTACAAATTTTATTACATTGGCAAGCTGGAAAATCAAATAATTAACCACAGAAAGCTTCAACAGCTAAACTCTTTGTCACATTTCCACAGTTAGGATCACCCAAATTCTCCACCGTTACATCGATACTGCATTTCGTTTTCCCCGTGCAAGCCTGTACGAAACCGGAAAAACAAAATCCACATAAAAAATCTTGATTTTTCGACAAATAAAAAGTGTAAGAAGAAAAAAAAATACCCTGTGAATAACGCGTCGAGCACGGTTGCTCCTGCATCGGCCGTGTGTGTAACCGCCACATCCTCCATGCGGATTTCCGAAGCTCACAAACTGTAGTCTCTTTATGACTTGTGATGGAGAAGGGCATTCCAGTAAAAGCGTCGGTTTCGTGACACGTGTCAAGTAGTTAGAGTCCCACAAATCGAGGGGTGCAGGGTAGTTTTCGGAGACTTTGCCACAGAGGAGTCCTAGCTCTCTTGTGGCGAAAGATATCATCGTCGGATCGCCTCCGATTTCCTCCAACACCACTAGGGTATTTCCGGTTGGCTTGAGCCACGATCGCGGCACGTGATATCTGCGATAGTATTTTATTAATATGTAAAAAAAAAATTAAGAAATGAAAAAATCGTGAAATAATATTTTACGAGACGTACTGCTGCTGAGTTGGCTTTCCGCAGCCTTTAAGACATTTGTTGTTGGAGTATGATCCTCTGTAGTTGCATGTGTCCGCGCAGTTTCCGTTCGACGGAGCGACGTTGGCTGGCCAATAGCGCCCGATTCCGTGTCCATTAACCCATGCGTGCCCCTTTCCCATTCCCGTGAAGTCGATCGCAACAGGGCTATTGCCAGCTGGAGCAGAGAATGTTGTCTGATTTTTCAAGAAAATGTTCATCAATTAATTAATTCGATAATTAATATAAAAAAAACGAAAAGAAAACGGGAGTACGTGTGGATGTATATTATTACCTTGTACCATGTTAGCGGTGTGTTCTTAGGAAGAGCAGGCTGGGAATCCCATTGTCCGGAAACTCCGTTAGATAGGCCTAATTGTTCGCCTTTCAGACCAACCTGTTTTTCGATATAATCCATAATCGATAAATAAAAATTAAATTAAATTAAATTAAATAAATGCAATTATAGAAATTTAAATGACCTGATAAGTCCATTGTTGTGGGGAGAGATCAATGGTTGAGCCATTGGCTAAGCCTTTGAACTGCACCGGACCGCCGATTCCAGCTGTGTACGTATCGAAGAATGCTCCGTAATTCTGGAAATAGTTTTGCATTATTATGTAAGGAATCATAATTCCGATAAAAAACAAAAAGAGATTGTTATTGAAAATGAGGTTACGAACCGATAGCCCGACAGTCAAACACAATAGATCAATGGTATTATTTCCTGGTTCCAAATTCATCGGAACATCCATCGAAAACTTGTTGTTGCTGCTACTGCCTTTTCCACTCCCTATAAAACAAAATTCGATCATCGGTTGAAGTTCCGATTATTTGGAATTCAAAAAAGAAAAAAATTATCGTTATTTCGAATAATTAACCTGCAAGATCGCCATTGACGAAAGCGTAAAGTCCGTGTCCAACGGAATCGAGATGAAGTAGTATCTGAGATCCTTCTTTAAGCAAAGGGTCGTTAGCGTTTAGATCGATACTGCACAAAATTCGAAAAACATGTTAAGAAAAAAAACGATCGTATTATATATACGATTGTGAACTTTTATATATATATATATATGTACCTCAAAGAGTACCACAAGAAGTCACTCTTGTCAGCAGTAGTGTTAATCTGCTCAACCAAACCAGGTAAAACGAACGCTTCGTTGTTGAGTGAAATTCCGACAGGTTCCTTAAACCAACTCCAGCTCGAGAGGGATACAACCGAAGAATTCGAACCGCTTTGTGGCACAAACTTTGTGAGGGCTGTTATAGCATTCACCTGTCGTCGTTTTAGTTTAAAAAAAAACGACGGTTAATAACAAATTAAGACAACAAAATTAAGGTTGTCAATTTAAGAGACGAATTAAATTAATTACCTTAGCAGTGTTGTACACTACATTCTTGCAGTCGGGTAATATGCTGACGGACCAAGCCGGCAAGTCGTAAGAATTGCCGTTGAAGGTCACCGTTGCGTCTAACTGCCAATCGAAATTGGCAAGAAACGCTGCACATTCGCCTGATTCAGCTTTATAAACAGTAACCTGTGAAATCAAATAAATTATCATTCCACACGAGTTTCCAAATTCAAGACATAATCGAAAAAGATGATTCGTTTTTTTTTCTTTTTTTTTTTACCTCCAAATTCTGGCCGAGACTAGTCGTATTACCGACTGTTGACACCATTGCCTCTTCACAGAGTTTTATAGCCTTGTGTAGATCTTTCAAGTGGCCCCACTTTGGCTGCCTAAGAAGACCTAAATCACAGCAAAAAAAAATTTTTTTATCGAAATTAGTATATTTTTACGACGAATAATAATAGCGAGAAAAGGCATATATACCATATTCATCGATTGGAGAATCATAATCGTAGCTAGTTGTGATGAAGGGTCCACCAGAAGTTCGGGCGAAGTTAGTTCCACCGTGGTACTGCATGCAATCAAATGTTGGTATAAAAAGTCGAAAGTTCTTGTAATCGTATTTATTAAAAAAAAAGCACTATAATTACAACATAAGACATACCATGTAATAGTTGAGCAAGGTTCCGTTGTTCTGGTAAAACCGCGCTGCAGCAAACGCAACGTCTTCGACCGGTCTGTACGGCACCGGATTTCCCCATGCAGAAAACCTAATATTACAATAACAATGCATTAATAATTTAGTATAAAATAAAACAAATATGAAGAGATTAATTATTTTTATTACAACTATTTATGTTTATTACCATCCACTCCATAGTTCAGTCCAAAACTTCGGCTTCGAAGGCGAATTAGGGGTGAATTGGTCACAGTAGAATCCATTGCAAGTGTTTATCTGCACAAGTAAACGAGCAATTAGAATCGTCGTCTAAAAATAAATAAATAAATCGATTGCAATTAGAAGTTAATTAATTAATTACCATGGGATCAGGGGCATTGTTCTGCTGGCACATAACCCATGGAACACCCGTGTTCATCGAGGTTGCCATTTGTGCAGCCCAATCAATATAAGGTTTCGCACTCGAACCATACTGCCAGTCAATGTTTCCGTACTCGTTTTCGATCTGCATTCGTTAAATTCAATCAATCATTTTTTTTTCGTTAATTCGGAAATAAATGTTTGATTAAGTAAATCATCATATATACCTGAGACAAAACAATGGGACCGCCTTGCGATGCATACAAATTGTTCTGCTTCATCATGCCCACAATCTTGGCCGTAAATCGCTGCATTTCAGCCTACACGCAACACAATTTAAACATCATATATTTATTAATTAATGCAGCTAAAATTTATTATCAAGAATGATGTAAATTAATAAGGAAAAATAGAAACCTTGTATACGTCATTGTCGGTACGAAGCTGAATACCGGGTAGAAAATGCAACCACAGAGGGAATCCACTGCGGTTATAAAAAATCGAGAAGCAAACCATTTTCGCATTAATGTGAATAATTTCAAGAACCAAAAATAAAAATATTTATATATATTTTTAAGTGTTTTTAATTACCCATAGTTCCATTCGGCACAAACATAAGGACCGATACGGAGATGCAAGTATAAACCAGCTTCAGCAACCAGCTTTACGAATTTCACCAAATCTTTTCTTTCGGTAAAATCGTACTGCCAAAATTTTACTTGATTATTATCGTCGTCGTCATCATTATCATTATTATTAGTATTATTTTAATTTTAAAAAATAACAATTTTTCGTATATTTTTTCTAAACAAAAAAAAAACCTGGCCTCGAACTGGTTCGTGCATGTCCCAGAAGACGTAAGTCTCGATAATATCCAATCCTCCATCTTTCGATTTCTTTATCAAATCCGGCCACATCTGCATGCATGCACGCGACGCAAACACGATTACATACAAAACCTTGTATCTATAGTCTATACGCACAAATATATATACTTACATCGGGGGTGCTACGTGGATAATGAATGGATCCGGAGACCAAAACCCTACGCTTGCCGTCGATGACCAACGCCCGCCCGTCGTAATCCACGCTCACAGCTGTACACAGCGACGCCGACGCCGCCAAGAGCAAAAACACCACCGCCGCCGTCCGGCTTCCGGCCATTATTCCCGATCAGAAGACAAAATTAAAAAGGTGCTTATTCTATTTACAGAATTTATTTATTTACAAAGAGCAACTTTTTTTTTTGTCTTCTGATTTAATTTTTATTTATTATTTATTTTAATTAGGGGAAGCCCTAGGCCGGATCTAGGAATCCAGTGGTAGTGGTGGTGCTCTGAATAATGGAAATGGAATTCCGCCATTTATATAGCTTGAGAAGGATGGTGCGTTGGCTTTTGTGGAGTGGTTTTCTCTGAATATGAGGTGTGCTCGGATTCTGCGGTATACATTCATTCTGTTTCCCCAATTTCTCCGGCGCCATGAAAATTGCTTGCCTCTTATTTAAATTTGGGTAAATTACACACCACCTCTGATATATGATCAAATTACGAAAAAATCTCTTCTGAGTTTGGATAATTACAATCACTCCTCAACTATAAATCTTCTTACACGTCCACCTTTGCGGTGTCAAATTTATTGGAATCTGCTAGATTATATGGAATATTCTCAATTTTGTACCCGATTTATCCCAGCTTAGCATTTTGAAGCAAGATGATCGTAAGATGTGTTTTTTTATTGTAAATATCAGATTGTGATACATCAGAAACTATATTATTGCAAAAAACGAGTACAAACTAGAGAACATTCCACGGAATTTAGAAGATTGTGTTGAATTTAACACCATAAGTGTGGACGTGTAAGAAAATTCATAATTGAGAGGTCATTTGTAATTATCTAAACCTGAGGATTTTTTTTGTAATTTACTCTTTAAATTTAGAAAAAAATAAAGGGCCTTTTGTATTGAATTACTAAATACTCTTATATTAAGTTGGATTTGATCAAGTAAATGATAGACATTCATATATAAATAAGAATTATGAATTATGATTAATCAAATATATATGATTGGGAGATTTGAAATAAAGAGAGGAATTTCTACAATTTACCTATTTCTTTTGAGTAATGAAAAAACCAGCAGAGCTAACTATATCGGTGCACTGGCCGGTAAATTTAAACTCTCGTACAATAGTTTGCAAATCATATGAGAGACATAAATGACACTAGGCTAACTATATGTGACAAACTCCAACTAGCGATCGCCAGCAAGGGACTTTGAATTTGGATCAATCGACGTAGGTTCATTTGCTACAACCGTTAGATCATTTCTTACTACAATGTAATTTACTATGTAATTTGAAGAGATGAATTGTGGAAGTTAATTTACTTATTAAATAAGGGAAAATTGGCCACCAACACAAGTTTTTAAGGACCATATTCTTCTTTTTTCTTTTGCTATAGAACACAAACAAAGATGAACAACTCACAAAATCACATGCACACACTCACACACACACACACACACACACACACACACACACACACACACACACACACACACACACACACACACAGTGGCGGATCCAGGATTTTTTTCAAGGGGGTTCGAAATTGTAGAATAAAAAATTAAAATATCATTTTATAAAAATAGTGGACCAAAAATTTATAATTTACAAATTTTAGGTGAATTGTGTAAATATTTAAAGTCCAAAAAGTTGAAAAATGTTGTAGAATAAAAAATTAAAATATCATTTTATAAAAATAGTGGACCAAAAATTTATAATTTACAAATTTTAGGTGAATTGTGTAAATATTTAAAGACCAAAAAGTTGAAAAATGTTAAGATTTCAAAAAAATTCCATTATTGTGTGGGTGGGTTTCGAACCCATGACCTATTAATAAAATAAGACATATCTTTACCACTTCAGCCAACTGCCTTTTCTGTTATTTTATGTATAATAGTAATATATTCTGAAAATCAAGGGTGTGCAACTGCACACCCTAGACCATGGCTACATCCGCCACTGCACACACACACACACATAACACACACTAATACGTGTAACATGCACACACAACTCGCGAGTCACACGCACAAATTTCAAACTTTTGTGTGTGTGTGTGTGTGTGTGTGTGTGTGTGTGTGTTGGGGTGTTTATGTGTGTGAGTTTATGAAGCTGGCTGCCTAAATGCCATGATCTTCATCAACAATATTTTTTTTTAATTATTTATTTATTTTTCGTACTTAGTTATATTTGCTTGCATGCATGCTTGATTTTTC